TGCAGTGGAATGCTGTGCCCTGTCATTAGTCCTTTGCTGGCTGGGATGTAGAAAAGGAATAAATAAGTAATGGTGGGTGAGACTTCACTGGGTGAGACTGGTCAGGTTTCATATTGGCACCACCTTTGTATTTGGTACATGGTGTCTCCATGTGATTCCCCTATAGGGGTAATTTCCCAAATATGTAGAAAATGAGCAGTAAAATCGACTGGGAGGAAAAATGTAGATGCAAAAATGTGAATGGTAATTGGAAGCTATTTGTAAAGAGATGATGAGCTGTCCAGGAAGGAGAAGGCAACTCTGGCCCAAATCCAACACCTACTTCACCCGCTTCAGTGGTGAGATGAGAACAGCAATTAGATATTAAAAAAATCAATAGATGACAATTAAAAAATGGAAAATAGATAGCAATCAATGGCAGTGAGAAATCATTGTGGGCAGAGAACTGGCCAGGAGAGGCCAAGGAAAACTCATGCCTGCCGTTGATGGAGAAGAGAGAAGAGCTTCTCAGGGTCCTGGAGAGAAGAGAAACCCTCGAAGTGATGGTTGGAAGAAGCAATAAGTTAGAACTGTTTTAAACTAATATTTCTGCTGTAGATCTGGAAAGCAGCAGTGTTATGTTTTTGTATCATAGGTGGCTGATGAAGCTTTTTCTAGCTCATGAGGATCTTAAAGTTCTTTTCCAACCTGGCTGATTCTATGATGAGTAGCCAAGGAGGATGTTATACAAGGTACAATGGAAATAAACATTTTTAACTGAGAACGCCCTGACAACTTGCACCCCAAAATCCCTAAAGAATTGGTATGTGAATGCTGTTTTTTAGTAAAGCTTATGGACTGGGAAAATGCTGTCAAGAGCTCGCTGGGGTAAGCGGGGGAGAGTTGGCAACACTTTGCTTATCTCTACTGGGCAGAATAATTGAAGAGCCTATATAAGATTGAATTGATAAAGAATTAAAGGATAGAAATATAATTCATGCCACTCAACTTAGATTTATGGAATATAGATCTTGTCAAATAAACCTGATTTCATTCTTCCAGATGACAACTTTGGTTGATAAATGTAGATGAAATAGACTCTGCAAGGCGTTGGACGCGGCGCTGTGTGACATTGTGTGTAGGAAGACCGAGCACTGGGCGGTATCGCTAGGGTGGGTGATTCAGAGATGGTTGAGAGCAGGGTTGGGTACAGCCTGCTCTGATCCTGGGCTAGAAAAATGGAACTGGGGCCGTGCTTGCAGAGCTGAGGTGCGGTACCCCAGAAGGCAGCAGCTCTGATGGAGGCTTCAAGGAGAACCAGCCCCTTCCCAGCATGATGCTGGGGTGAGAAAAGCTTGAGTAGTGGAGGAGGATGGAGGGGTGGCTTTGGGATGTAAAAATGACTAAATTTAGAAGTGTGCCTTCATTCCTGGGTGCTCAAATACCCACTGGTGTGCAGGGAAGGCCACATTGTGTACCAGAGGGCTTATCTGTGTGTCAACCCCAAACAAACCCTCGATAGAAAACGAGAATGGGTAGAGATTGGAGCCGGAGAAATTCAGGTGAACGCCAGTACCTGTCTTAAGTGTGGTTAGCTGTGAGAACAGACTGCAAGCAGTGGGTCCTCTCCTTGTCTTCCAAGCTGGCTTGAATGGTTTTCACTGGAATTTCATGCTTTGCCCTAAAGACAATTTGCAGGCTGAAGGAGGTCATGTTTTACCCAAAGACATTGTTGGCCATGGCTTAGGACAACTGAGCAACACGTATTGCAGGAAAGGTTAGAGAATAAGAGCCGGTGATCTCTTTTGACCTTAAATTCCTTGATGTGAAGCAGTTGAGGATGTGAGCTCCATCCTCACTGCTGGTGGCCAGGGAGGGCTG